TAACTCAAGAAAGACAACGTATGGGGATGAACTCTTTTAGAGTTCTTCTAGTCTCATCGAGTTCTACTTATGGACAAAATATGAACCCGATCGGTGATTAACACTTGGGATAGTTCCCTCGTCAGACATATCACAATAGGCTAATATTATGAAGTATATTGTGTTTGCAATACATGTTGATCACACCAATTCGTGTTAACGTAGAGCATGATCTTCAATGTGAGTGGTGGGACTACGTAGAAGGCAATGACAGAATAAGAATCAATAATGCTGACGACCTAAACTTCGGTGAGTAGTTCATCTGCTTTCTCGAAAATTTTTTCTGTCATTCAGGATCAATTATTTTACTGTTGTTATCGTGATAAATACCAAAATGATTATGGAGCAAAATAAGACCGATCGAATCTTCTGACAGATTAGCCACTCAATGTTGTATAGCATTAACTGCTGATCGACTGAATGCGTGAATAAGGATGAGCAGTGCATTGTGATTGTGGCTTTCGAAGCAGTCAATAGAAGAATTGAATGTTTTCGAAAAGCTAGGATTTCATGTCCAGTCTGTCACTGATGGTGATAGTTTCGCCATACACATCTTATCTTTCAATGAATACGCTTCAAACTTTTATTTAATGAGCTCATCGTTTGACCTGTTCTGACCTTATTCGATGCTCAATAATTTGTATGTTTCCTAGAAATCAACAGAAGGCATGTCCGATAACTGTTGAAGAAGGCATTTAGAAATGATTAGTACTTCTCTGTATTTTTGTAGACTATTTCTCATCCGGTACCAGTATCAGCTTAGTCGATCACACTCCATAGATCAAGCAACACTAATGGTTTTTTCCTCACTTCCGTGTTTTATATCATATAACTACTGTAGAATGAAGTAAACGATTCAAATTTTCACTGTGAGCAGAACTAAAAGGGAGCCTTTCAAATTAAACTTTCTGTTCTGTAGTGCTTGCTTTTCGACTAGGAGAGTCTTCTAAAAATCATATTCTTGGCGAAAACTCCGGTTTTCGGTGAGGATTGTCTCTTGAACAGTGCGATTAGTTTTGGGAGCAATTCTTACCACATAAGAGTACTCTCTTTGATCGTCTTTCAATAGGAAAATCAGCAAAGTGTCTCTAGAAAGGGTCTAGAGAAACGATCATCGCTAGGCATGTACTAGTTCCAGTCCCGATTCGGTATTCAGCTCTGCTGAATATACATCATACTGACGTGGAACTAGTTCTACAACCATTATTTTTGTATTTTGACTAGAGATTTTTGAGGTCTTAGAATTCGAATCGGTAGTCAACTTGAAGTTTTTAGTTTGTCTTTCTGACTAATAATAGTTTCTTGGAAAAATAATTTATTTTTGTTAAAAATTTTTTAAAGAACAAAATGATATTTTTCCCTTGAAAATATTTTTCACATGAACTATGATTTTCGAAAAAAAACAATTTTTTTGGTAAAGAAAGATTTATGAGTGTAAAAGCCAAACTTTATATTGTAAGAGACTGATCATGAATTCCGATTCCTCGATCTCGAAAAACTTGGGTCAAACTTTATGCAAAATACGTTATTTTTTTAATCCTTTGTTTAGTGGAACGTTAAGTAGACAATGTCTTAAAACTGGTTACGAATTTGGCTTTCTCGTCCCCAAATAACTTTGCTCAAAAGCAAAAATACTGATTATCAGCTCAGTTCTAGATCAGTTTCTTGAAAGTCTAGTAGAGCTGGATATCTAGTCAGACTGATGCATCTCTAAAGACAGCCTTTTCCATTTTAGAGATACAATCAGATTACCAAAATTTACCGTTCGTGATAGAGTAATATGTTGATTAAACAAGATCGTACACTTCACTTTTCTCATATTTCTCAAGTATTTCAACGAGTATTAGAAAACATTCAAATAATGAAAATCTAGAACATTTGTAACTGTTTCGAACTGCATATCATACGTCTTTATTCTTACTATGAAATTCAAAACATCGATGATTGTTTAGATAATCATACTAAACAAAATTTCTCCAATTCGGACATTAATTTGATGCAGACGTATTGTCATTATAACTCCTCTTCAACTAGACAGATCAGGTTGAAAATTTTGTGGTAGATTTTTGTCGTTTAGTTCTACGATCAAGCCAAATTTCACTGATTTGGCACAACTTTTTGAAATATTGCGATGCCTTTGATTTAGCTGAAAAAAGATCAATGCAGCTAAAAATTGACAAATTTTGATTTTCATCGTATTTCGATAGATATGACAAATTTGTTTCTGTATTTATGAATATGAAATCAAATATCAATAGTAGTAGAGAAAAAATGGAAAACAAAATTTTACTATACTGTTTATTTTTACCATATAATTCTTCACCTTATAAAAAACATCATTTTTACTTAAAAACATTCAATTTATATTTATCAGAACAGAGAGCCTAAAATAACCATTATATACAAGTCATTTCAATATAAAAAAGAAAAAGAATTATTTTTTGAAATAGTTTATTTCTTTCGATGTTGTTGATAATGTGAATTATTATTATTTGATTGTCCATGTTCAATAGCTAAGTGTCTTGGTTCTTGAGATTGTGATCGATGTCGTTCAAATGATTGTGGTGACATTAATAAATTATTTGTACTTGAATTAAATCCATGTCCATTAATATTTTTCAAACCTAATTGGTCTGCACGATTAAACCATTCACGTTCAAATTGATTTTCATCCTCAATATACTCAAATTCACGATTTTCTAATAATCGTCCACTAGTTGGATCACGTTCTTTTATTATTTTATGACCACGTTCACCAAGTCGATGAGCTATTTCCATTTTTTCTAAATTTCGGCCTGTATCACGAACAGCTTTACGTGTTCGAGAAAAACCTAAATAGACAAATCTTGTTTAAAAAAATACGAACTATTCACAACAATCCATAATTTACCTTCAGGGCCATGCAATTTTTCTGATGTTGCTTGAAATATTCTTGGTTCGCCACCATTGCTTCGATCCATACTCATCACAGTTGATGAACTAAATGAAACTCCTTGACCATTGCGTCCACCAAAATCATTATTATTCATTCTCGTTTCGATATGATGCATCATTTGATGCATATTATCCATAGCATTTTGCATATATGCAAATGGATTACCGAATATATCTAATTCTCGATTATTATTTTGTTGACGTTGTGTTAGTTGTCGATCATGATTATCATATCGTCGTTGATGTTCAAGTGCCAATGACTGTGGTAGATCGACACCAGAAAAAAATGGATCATTCCGAAACGTTGAAAGCATATTCATAATGTATAGACAAAAAAAAATAATCAAAACAACTTTTTTATATTCTTGTTTTTATCGTCTGAAATGCTGCTTATATATATGTGTGTGTGTTGACAGAGTTGTAAGAAAAATTATTGATATAACGAATTTTCGCGATTGTTCTCGAAGGGCGCGTAGAAGAAAAAGAATCAGAAAGAAAAAAAAGAAAAAGCGGCTGACACTCGTTTTTTTATTTCTCTTGTCTCATTTTTTGTTCTCGATGAATTGAGAAACAGAATCAAAAAGAGAGAACAACAATTCATGAAACATATAGAAGGTCGTTTTTTTTTATTGTGCAATAAGAATAACATAAATTATTCAATGAAAACTTCGTCTAATGTTTCTGGAGAATATTGTGATTCTTGAGATGATCGATTAATTAATTTTTTATCCGTTTTCTTTTTATTACAATAACAAATTCCACAGATACACATCAATAAGATTAAAAATAATGACATAAATGTAGAAACTTTTGATAAATCACTAGACATTGGTCCATTTGATGATGACGAAGAATTATTTAGACTATCTTCAAATTTTCTTAATCTATAATATCAGTATATGAAAACTCTATTCAAATGAAAAACATAATAACACACAATATACGAGTTCCTTTCGGATTTGTTTTCTCAAATTCTTCAACCTATAAGAAAATAATTCTTTTGTTTTTGTTATCAATAAGAATGTTTAGTTTTAGTTGATTGACCACCGAGTCAGTATACGCTAAATCATTAGAACACTTCACTATAAAAAGCCTATATATCTTCATAGGGTTGATGTTTCAATATTGCAGCGAACGAGAATATTAGTTACCCATTTTGTAGTGTTTAGGTTGGCCGTAAAAAGATCGAAAGGAAAAAGGTCAAAAAATCAATCAATATAGAATAGGAAGAATGTCAAGTGGATAAATGTATAAGAGGAAAAATATTGAAAACATTTATGTCTCCAGAGTAAGTGTAGTTGAAGAGAAGACTAGAATCTACACTCACTGACGGATTGATAGAAGATGTGATGATTACTTCATTTCCTCTAGCAAAAAAAGGCTCACAAATGAGCTGATACTACCTCTATTCAATTTCAAAACACGTTTCATGACCATGATCGTGTTCATTCTTTGTCCATGTGGCCTTGATCATAAAAATCCTAGATCTGCCACTGTCTGCATCCACACCAGTATTGACACCAACAGTGTACATCTCTAGTTATAAATTAGAAATCAGACGAAACTCACAGCTCTATAAATCATATTATGATCTAATGGATCTTCAGATTTGGATGGATAATAATCTAAACATTCTATTGTCTGAATAAATAATAAAATCTAATTTTTAATCATACAACAAATCCATGACCAATCAGGTTTGACAGTACTTGATTGATTCCAATAATATTGATGACAAATACCAATAGTTAATTTTAAATTAACCACATATGAATATCAAAAAATTAAATAAATATATATTAGGAAAAAAAAGAAAAAGTCCCAAGAGAAAAATATCTGATTAAAACTCACTCACACATCATATTAACATAATTATTATCTTCATATTGAAATACAATTTGATTTGTTAGAATATCACCATTGTGTAAAGAACTACTTGTTCTCTCAACAGAAGAAAGAAAAAATTTCAATGGAATGAAAAAAAAAGCAAATTCATATGCTTCTTCTTACTAAATATTTATCATCTGTTAATTTTCCAATCATTAATTGATTTGAATGATTACCATAAAACACTAAGTTTATTTTTTCGACATTTATATTTCCTGTTTTATATTGGGTAATAATTGAAGCTGTTGTTGGTACAAATTTTTTACATAAATCTTTTGAACATTTAGATGAAAATAAAAGAAATTCATTTATATGATTTTTTTTATTCTGAATTTCACATAATAGATTCAGTTGATCGATTCCAATAATAGAACGTTGATCTATTGATAATAACGATAAATCACACAAAAAATCATTTTCTAATAATGTTTGATGAAATAGATCATCATTTGGAAAATGATTAAAATAAAATAATGGTCCATTTTTTTCACAACGAAATAATGATGGTACGTTATTTATATGAAATTTTATTTCGGTTTTTAAACAAAAAATAAAATATTGTTGAATTAAAAAGAAAATAAAGAAACGTACGTTTTTATTTGATATAAACATTAAACCGAAAAAGAAAGAATTTAATTATTAAATAGATCAAGGCGGGATGAAATAATGTTAGACGTATAGATTATTATTATTGCTTGATCGTTTAATAGTATGCAATTTATCAATATGTTGAAAAATAAAAAGAAATTTAAAATTGAGTTTCATAAATATAGCTGAACTACAACTATAAATGTATGATGTAACCTATGACATTAAAGCCTTGTCACAAAATATTTGTTTCTTTTTTTCGGCTTCTAAAAGATAAATGGTTAGAGCCAGCAGTAATTAGTTACAATCAGAATTTATTTCGATTACTAAATATATGTTCCGATTTTCTTTTTGGAATAAGGTTGAATAACTGTCAGTAAGTTTTGTGAAAAAATCTAAAAGTGTCTAGACCATGAAGAATAGTGAGTTTGGCACAGTCCTTATTTTGGGTTTTGGAACAGTTTGAACTCAACATCATTTTAGAGTATTGAATTCTGTAACAAATGAAATATTACGATAAGCGAAATTTTATCTATGTACTTCCACTAAAGAGCTAGTTCACATAAAAATTGGTCTTAGTCAGAAAACTCAACACTTCAAAAATTGCTTTTAATTATACATAAGGTTAAAAGAACTATCATGCAAAAGTACATAGCACTTTTTTAAGAGCAAGCTTTGCTCTACGAAACTGAGTCATTAAAACTATTAGTTCGAATTTGGAATTCGATAGGTTTCAATCGAAATATAAAATTGACCAAATTAATGTTTTGTGAAAGCACTATTTTCTGCCTTTTGAGACATTTTGATGATAATTCTCTAATGTTAACTCAGAAGGCAACTCTAAACACGTATTCGAAAAGAGTAAAAAAGTTTAATTCTAATCAACAGCGTATAACTCTTATATAGCTGGCCAAAAAAATGAGTAAATATTTTGTACTAAGACTTTCGCGACATAGTTTAGGAAAAAAGAATAAGTCTATTTGAATATTTTATGTAACGAACTTAATATTTCAAATATAATTATTAAGAAATGTTTTTGTCATTGCATATGATTTTATCACCGAAAACTTAACAGTTAACAAAAAAAGAACACATCAAGAAGACATATAAAATATTTTCTCTCATTATACAATAGACATTGAGAACTATGTCTCAAACAGAAATTCTTGAGAATAATATACTATTTATAAGCTTTTGGTAGATCTTTTGAATTCAAAAAATTTTATATTCGATAGATAAATACATACAGATATTTTTTGTTTGATTTCGACTGATAATTAAGAATTGTCATTCAATTTGCAATTTTTTTACACACATAATAAATATTCTAAGAAACTCAAAGAACATATTTACTGAACCTTTTGCTTTTTATTTAAATTTACTGTCAGCAATTAAATATGGCTAGACCATAATAGACACATTAATTCAATTAAGGAAATTTTGTGAACAAAGTAAATATCATAAGCGATCCATTATACTTATGAGAATATTATTGTTCTTTCATTTTTTTTAACAGCCTGCTTCAGTTACGAAAACACTTTCATATGAATCTGTGTAATATGAAAATGAAAGTATACTTAGTAATATTGAACAAAATCTGTCAGTAAAATTTATTGTTTGTCATGAACATTTAGATTAAATAGGTTTGCTCTTTCTTTTTAGAAAGACAAAGTATTCCTTTCTATATAAAAGATAGTAAGAAAAACAGCGTGTCTATTTCCGAATATCAAATCATTTATATCCATCATTTTGTTTTTTTTTATATTTATAAAACAAAACAAGTTAATTTTATTCAAAAAAAATTTGGTTCAACAAACTCTCATTCGATACAATAGAATTTTGTGATTCTACTGATGATCGTGCAAGAACAGAATCATCAGATGCTTTTAATTCAACTTGGTAGTTTTTTTTATAGATATAAAATATTCCACCAACAATAATTAGTATCAATAGAAGAATAAATATGGGCATTAACGAGCCTTTATTCGTCTGATTTAATGACATTGAAGAATTATCTAAGAATTCGGTTAAGTTCGAAAGTTGATATACCGGTCTATAGAAATATCAAAAGAAAAAAAAATAAATGTTTTCTTCCTTAAACGATTAATTTTAACTTACGAAATACGAACTGTAGATAAATTTGTTTTTTCCAAATCTTCTATCTAGAATCCTATTTCATTACATTAATATTGGTTTTTTTCCTATTATTGATAACTTCTAAAATAACACTTACAGCTTTACTAATCATGGTGTCATCCATTGGATCTTCGGCATCCGATGGATAATAATCTAAGGTATAGAAGAAAAAAGACGTTTCGTTTTTTTTTCTCATAATAATACAAATTTTATCTAATACTTACAACATAGCCATGTCCAACCTTCTCCTGATGAAGTCATTTTTCCACTTCTTATTTGAATAAAATTTTTGAAAATCCCATATTGAAAACGACAAATAGATTTTTTATTTTTTGGATCATTTATATAAGTATATCTGAAGTTTCAATATGAAAAATGAAATCATTTTTTTTTAACAAAAACAAAAAAAAGAAACAAAACAAATCAAGTGTTAAACATACTCGCACATCATATTTAGATATTTATCTTGTTTCATTTTAAAAACGATTTGATTTTTCCTAAAACCTCTTTTTGTATAACCATCATCATTCGACTTAAATAAAGATAAACAATTAAGCGAAAAATAATTATCAATGTCAAACTAGCACGACTGAAACTACCACGACAGATTTAGATCGATCGAAAATGCTTCACATCTGAGTTTTAGAAGTCAAATGAGGGTAAAAAGTACCTTCCATACATGTTCTCAAGCAGAACTACCAATAGAACACTTTTTTTCTAGCTTAACCTGCAGGCCAAATTAGACCGATTGATGTTTCTAATTTTTTGAGTAAATTTAATTCTATTATTTTGTATTAACCTATCAATTCATTTATTTCTATAGAGATAAGATAATATATCAAGCTTTTGCACCAAATAGTGTAATTAAAACAAGCAGACAAACATCATTAATATTCGTCATACATGTAAGGCTTGAATTAATAAAATTTTCTTGATAATATGAGTTCTATTTCGTAAAATCGAAAAAGTGTAAGCATGTAAGTAGAAACAATATACGAATAGGCATACAACAAGAGGTGACAGAAAATGTAAGGTATAGATGATTCTTATAATAGCAGACAAAGACATTTTCATCTGACAATCAACTTTTGCAACAGCATGAACGAAAAATTTGCTATTCGGTTCTTTGAGATCTAAATAAGTTCTTCTATTAGTCAATACAAGTCTTACAAATACTAAAATGACGTTCAGTTCAAGTATTTTATTGCTGAAACCTAATAAATTTGTCAAAGTATTCTCGAATAAAAAGGCGATACATCAACATTTGATTTCAAAAATGTTATAGCTAGATCGATAACTTTGGCTTGGTCTTGCCTGGTTATCCAGGACGAATCTCTATGGACTAAAATTTCAAAATTTGTTCTGGTCTGGCAAGCAGCAAGTTAGGTTGGCAGCTCTGTTTCCGAGCACTCTCGCTCGTGACTGAATGATTTGAGCTGATGCCCATTGTTTGAGTCCATATTGGGTTCACAAGACGGTCACGATAAGACTAGGTAAATCCCAAAAGATTTTGTACAACTAAACCACCGACACCGAATTATGTCTATTCTACTGAAATTTCGATGAGACTTTATGTATTTATCGAAAAATCAAATAACGATATTTCAATTTAATGCTTTACCCATCAACAGGCAGAATAACTAGTAGAATATTCTGAAAGTTTCAGTCAAATAGAATGTTCCTTTATTGAAATGTTGAATTTACAAAAAAAGTCATTTATCATGAAAATTGAATTTACTTGAAAATTCAACATTTAGACAAAGGAACATTCTTTTTCGTTGAAACTTTCAGGGCGTTCTACTAGTAATTGGGCCTTTTTATGGGTGAGATTTCACACTGAAATATTATCATTACATTTTTGAGTGAATACCGAAAGATAGATTGAAACTTCAGAAAAACAGTTATAACTCGATTCCAGAGGTCTAGGGGCACGAGTCTTATTAGGATTTTTCAAGTTCTACCGAGACCTTCTTGTGAACCGAATAGGAGCTCAACTTGTAGGTACCAATTTGGACATTTCTTCTCATAAAAATACTAATGCTCAGAAACTAGAATTCACCTAAATCTGTTATGGTTGTTTCATATGACTAAAAAGAATATTTTTCTCTTTTCTTTCTTACAGAAAAAACATATTGATCTTCTTCACCTATTTGAATATTTTCTGTTCCAATTCCTCTGATATCAAAATCGATTAATGTTGGTTTGTTTGATATGGTAGTTCTATGATTTGTAATTATTGTTGCAAATGATGGTGTTAATCGTATACATCGATCATCTATTGAACAATTTGATTTAAAAAATAATATTTCATTAATACGATCTTCTAAGTTTGAAAATTGAAAATTACATTGTGAAATAAGTTTGTCAACATCAAATATAATACGTTTATCTGGTGTTATCAAAGATAAATCACAATTCTTGATTTGATTTGTTATAGTTTGATTAAATAATCGATCTGTTGGAAAATTATCAAAATAAAAAACACGTCCATTTCGTTTACATCGAAATAATGATGGAACATTAAGACTAAATTTTATTTCAGTTTTTATCGAGAACACAATTATGTGAATATGAATAAAGAAGAATATGAAAAAAATTTGCATGTTTTACCAAAGAAAAAACAACATGCCATCTTAAAAGCGCGATAATTAGAATAAAATTAGTTTTTATTTGATTTACTATTGAGATACAATTTTATTTTATTTTCGTTTATTTTTAAAAATATTTTTTATTCAAGATGATAAAAGAACAAGGAAAACCAGAAGGGTTCAATTATCTTTAGATTTTTCTTCGATTCTTCATCAATATTTTTCGAATTACTATCTATCGTTGATAAGCTATCTATTTCAATATTGTCAACGTGAGACACAAGTCACTATTTTTAGACGCTTTCTAAAGTATACAATTTCACGTTATCATTTCTTTATATTTTTGTCACGGTTTCTAATTAACCATCTCGCCGAAATTTTAAGGACAAAACTACTTCATTAAGAATCTAATTTTTAAATGATAGTTTAAAAGATTTCTTCGTATAATACTTGACCATTCCACCTGATTATGATTAATTTATCAAAATAGAAGGTACTATATGGATAAGAAAAAAAAACGTAACATTTTATTTTGTCGTATTTTATTTTTAGCCATATTGTTTCATCATCTCAAATTGTAGATATGTATTCATAGAGATACAAACCTTTTTTATTCGTAAAAGTTATTAATAAAATGTAGAAAGAGGAACGAACAAAAAAATCGTATCGTTTATAATCTAAATTTACAAGTTAAAATGTCGGCAAAAAAATACTCCTTTCAAAAATTCATTCAAACGTTTCCCCATTCCAATAAACTAAAATCATACGTCATTAATGAGAATTTTTCGTTTTTTTTCGATCCATTACACGCTTTGTTTTTCTGTTTTTCTTTGTCATTCACATTGTCAACTACTAATTTATAATGAAATATTCTGTTTGACAAATGTAATTTCCTACCATAGCAATATTCTCTATCATTAATGATACACGCGAACGCTCACAATCATTTTCTTAACTGTTTGCCCTTGATTTGTTACTATTATTCACCTTTTTTTTTTTCGTTTACAATCACTGCTATATAAACACAGAAATTATTCCATTCATATGTCAATATAACGCAATATAGTACTATTATATTATAGACGAACAGAAGATATCATGGCTGATTCTAGTTCATCGTTAGTCGATTCATCAATAATTAACAATGATCAATCCATTCAGATCTGTGATATAGAAACCTCTTCAACTGATAAAAAATGGAATAAAACAATATCTGCAAATAGTAAAATAATAACGAAACGAAAAATGACATATAAAGAACATCGTGAAGTAATTTATAAATTAAATCAAATTAAGCAAGTTATACATGAAGAAAATTTAATACATGAAAAAATAAATCGTATAAACTTAGAAAAACAACATGTACGCAGTTTATTACTTCTCCTTCATGTTGTAGATTCAATTGATGGAATGAAATATTCACAACATGGTTAATAATGATTACAAAGAGAACAACAAAAAAAATTTGAACTATTTTATAAATTTAATGGTATCATTTTTTTATGGGCTTATGATCATATTATTTTTGCTGTACAGTACTTTTTACAGTAAAAAATATGAACTATTGATAAATTGTATTATATAATAAATCCTATTATTCGCTTTTCTCTTTCGATAGAAATAATTATTTCATATTTAAACAACGATACACTTGTAAAGCTCTTAAAATAGTATATTCAAATAATTGAAACAATTTTCAATATGATATTGATAAAGAAGTAACATAATTGGTCAAGAACTTTTTTATCACAATAATACTATTTGGTATATTAACAATAGTAAATAGATATTTACAGTTCAAAAATACGATTTTTTTAATGCAATTTTATTCTATATAAAGAATTATTGAGTTTGTTCAATTTTCATTATTGTTTTTGTACTCGCAATAAAAAAGAAAGCATAAACACGAAATCGATCATGTTTGCACCTAACTCTCTAGTTTAATATTTGTTCAACATTTTTCTTCTCTACTAAGATTACTATGACATAGTATAACTAATCATTTCATTTAAGGTTTTTCTTTAAATGAATCATCGTTATATCACTATCGTTAATTGTAACCTGTAATAGGCCCACGACTGACATCGATAAAACGAAATAAGCGTTGCGTGAAATCAGAAGAAATGAATCATTCGAAACTAATCATAACCAAGTTTCAATAAATAGCTTATTGTGATTTAGAAACCTGACAATACGAAAATCTATGAGACATATTCTTAACTATAAATAAAATCTACGAGTCAGGGTATTTCATGGGATCTCTACCATAAAAAACACAAGCATTTCGAAACCCTATGAAACCTTCACGGTTTGTAGATCATATTAAATTAATAAAATCTGCAAGTTCAGTGCTGCAGATTTAATGAATAAATAAATACAGAATGGGGATGATATTTTCTATGATTGTTAAGAATAATGACAGAAATTAGGATTTTATCCAAAATGATTTCAGACAAGTGTCGTTCAAATTAAACATACAAATTAGTAACTATTGTATATGTTCAGATAGCTTCTAATCTTGACTATCTTTTGGCTAGAATACATTGAGATTTTGTTTACATCTTGATTATAACATCCTTTCGCGTATGCAGCGCATTGACTAAATTATAATGCACGCTGTGCTAAAAAACAAAGTTCTGAAAAACGAAATTCCAAAGCATTTTTATATATAGAGTTTTGTGAACGATCACTTGATTTGTAATATGAACTAAATCTGGTCTTTTCACATTTTGATCTGATAAAATGCGAAACAAAAAAAGAATAAAAGGTCGCGTTTTTTCAATATTCAAGAGAACGGTATTCCTGTGGTGACGATCACTTTGTACAAAAGTAAACTTCGATTTCGATGAAACTTTTTAATATTTGTATAGATTTTCATTCTAAGCGTTTTGAGACAAAAAATTGTTTTTAAAAACCTTTTATTTTCCATGAAGATACACTAAAATTTAATTAGTGAAAAACCAAAAACTGATTTTTCTCATATAATTTTGATCAAAAGTTTTTGATAGCTTAATCCACTAAAAGAAGATTAAAAATAAATTCTATATCATATTCAGATTTCTCGTGAGATGGAACATCGAATCATACTAAAATCAGGTTCAACTTTCACAAAAATCATCTCTACCTGTCCAGAGAATTGCTTAAAAGCATCATTTTTATCAAAACTCTTAGAATTGAAATCTCTACTAACGTTGAAATTTTCATAAAAATGGAAGTTCAGTTTTGTACAATGTGGTTGATATCATGGAAAAACTATCCTATCAAATATTGTAAAAAAAACTTGATTTTCGATGTTTCGTTGTCTTTTTGTATGCGTTATAACCTAAGTGAAAAATGTTTGAACTGAATTCAACAACTGACAACACTTGCGATTATAAAGTCAAGTGCGCACTACAAAACAACGTTTTTCCCGAAATAAACATGTGAATTTTATTGTTAGATAAAATGTCCTTACGAACCAAGTCTTAGTACACATATGGATAAATAGATTGAAATGCTTTGTCTCAGAAATTATTTACTGAATCACAAGATATTGTTGAAGAACCAACTATAGTTATTCTATTCAGGTTTTATTTGTTTTGATAGTATGAATTCATTTCTAGTCGGATTCTAATATTGTCCAAATAATACTGAAATTCTAGTTATTCTAATTTTCCCTATAACACATATATTCGTTGTTCTTATCGATGAATTTAACATTTATATTCATAACTATAGTGTCTAAAAAAAAAATGTCTATCAAGTTTGTTATTAATGCTAAAATATCAAACAAATATTGATTGAAGCAGAGAAAGCAAATACATTGTGATGAGAGAAAATAGCATAAGTGTAAATGAATTTTACTCAACCTCAGATATATACTGTCTATTCAATCGATTGATGTACAGTATGAAAGTCATAATTATCAATAAATTATCACATCATTTCTCATATGAATCTTGAACTCATCAGTAATTCAATATTTAGTTAAACAATGTACAGTTCCAATAATTCTAATACTTTCTTTTTTTCAATTTTTTATTACTTCATTTGCTCATATCTTTAACGTTAGAGAGAAATGATTAACGAACAGCAGATCGTGTAAATCATCATGAACGTAAACAGTCACAAAAAAATCCACTGATTTCATTAAACTAAACCAAACACTGAACAGTTACTAAATCACTTAAAACATTAAAATCATTTACTGAACCCGAAAGTTGTGTAATCATATATATGGCATGAAATCTCATTTGTATAGATAAGACGTATGTTTCATGCATCATCAATACACATCCATTACCGTGAATTCAGTTCATTATTTTTGTTTCTCGTTTTAACAAATGTTGAGAGCATTGCTTTATTTCAATATACTATACATCTTATGATCAATCGTGTATTAAATCTAGTTCAATGCATATGTAATAAGCTTCACAATCTGATACCTTTCAGTCAATATTTCAACCTCATATTTATCAGAATAATCAATAATCTGAACTTAAAGCAAAGAAAATTTTAATAATAAATAATTTATTTAAACTAAAAACAAGAAATTAGATAAAAACAAAGTATTAACGAATAGTTTTTTTTTTTTTTATAAGACCCAAACTTTAATTGTATGTGTTGATGTAATATTAGATGGATAAATTAAATGATGAATATCAGGTGCAAAAGATTTTCTAGTTTTTTTTGAATTCGGTGTTGATGAGTCAATAGGTAATGGTACACATTTTGATAATGAATAACGAACATGTACACGTCGTGGAGTCGAGCATAAATTTGGAATATGTATTGTACTGATTTTTTTTGGTGTTGATGTCGATTGAGGTTCAAATGTAATAAAACTAAAATATAAAAAAACAACAAAAAAAAATATACTAGATTAAGTTTTATCATCAAATTTTATAATCATTTACCTCATGATGTATGTTTAATATAAAATATTTTATTTAGTTGGAAACAATTAGTTGTAAGTGTTCGATAAGAAAGTTGAATTAAAAATGACAAGAAAACTTTAAGTTACATAGGGATAAAGT